TTTTTACTTTATTTCCTTTTACCTCTTTGTTTTTCAATTAGCTTTTGTTACCTTTTCTCCTTCATTTTAAATAGGTAGAGAAGCTTGCGGTGCTTGTAAATATAGCTCATTTTAGGAAAGGTGATGGTAGAATGACCACCAACAATCTGATGAGAAGCCCTCGAGCTCTCCCAGTCTATTTCCACAGATAACCCTTTCAGGAACAGAGGTAACTCAGACAACTCAGACTATTTGATTCTTTGAGTAGCCAATACGCTGCTCCAGACTATAAAGGACGCTGGGCCTGTTTCCCAGCAAGTTGATTATCTCAGCCATGGAACTGAGTCAGATTCGTAACAATTCTTTATGGGACGCTGGACCCGCTTTCAGCAGATTCTTTGATTATTGGACAGCTTTATTGAAGGGACGCTGGACCCGGTTTCCAGCAGATTCTTTGATTATTGGACAGCTCTATTAAAGGGACGCTGGACCCGGTTTCCAGCAGGTGCAGCTCCTCACCAATAGATGGAGTCTTCTACACAGGAACCCACTTGAAGAGGATGCTCTTATCACCTCTTCAAGTGAGGCTCCCTGGCCTGAAGTTAACAGTAAAAAAAAAAAAAAAAAAAAANTTTTTTTTTTTTTTTTTTTTTTTTTTTTTTTTTTTTTTTTTTTTTTTTTTGCCGGGGCTAGCCCGGGACCCCCGCCGGGGCCCCGGGGCCGGGGCTAGTGTAAAAAAAAAAAAAAACATAAAACACCACAACAAAGTTCATTACGCACATCCATGAAAAGGGCCTCGGGACCAACTAGGTGGCCTTTTTTTTTTTTCTTTTTTTTTTTCTGTTTTTTTTCTTTTTTTAATTAGGTAGCTTATTAGGGCATACTCACACTATCACTTTCATCAGGTTTTGGGGGAAACTAGGTGGGAGTCACAAAATTAAGTATAATTGCAATATGGGCCAAGAAACAGTTTGGAATTGCAGTTTCGGGCAATGTATACAACCCAGCTTTCTGGCCAGGTACGGGCCCCGAAGTGCAGTTGCAAACTGTATCTTGCCCCATATTGCAATTATCAGTCGTTTACATGGGACTCTACTGAAGTTACCCCTTTGTTTTTGTTTTGGAAAGAGAAAAGAAGATTGGCACTGCTAGTGGTGGTGATATGAGCCCCCCCCCTCTAGGCAGCCCAACTGCTGGCTCCAATCTCTTGGTGGGGAGCAGCACCTGCTGGAACTTTTAGGGGTGGTGATATGAGGCCCCCCCTCTAGCAGACCAACTGCTGGCTCCAGTTTATTGGTGGGGAGCAGCACCTGCTGGAAATGGGGTCCAACGACCCTTAGACAGATACAGAAGTTTTCCATAGACCCTGAGAAGCACTGAGAGTTTATGACCTCATCACGGTATAGCCGTCAAGACGCTTGTGACGCGCAACCTCACGCCCTGTGCTGTCTTCCGTTCGGAGTGACAGCTGTGTGGAAAAGGGGCCCAGAAAAACAGCAAGATGGGGTGTGCCAAGGATTTTTGGAAATTGAGTGTGGGGACACAGACGGAACTGAAATCCCCCGTGTTGGTCCGATGGAGCAAGTCGATTGATTCGCGCGTCGCAGAATGCGCGCGCGGGCAAGGCGGGAAAGAGAGAGAAGGATCCAAATTCAATCCAAAAAGTATTGTTGTGACTCCCACGGGGCTACAGCCCGTCGTTTAGAACAGAAAGGCTTAGGCACGCTTCGCGTGTCTCGTTTTCGTATCGAATTCCGTCGTCGTTCGCTGGTTAGTTCCGAGTCTGACGTGGAGGGTCTCAGTCACGTGGCTCTTTCTTTATGCTTGTCTTCACTCCGCACACGGTAGTGGAAACCCCTGGACTCGTAGCGCTCAAAACGCTGACATTCGGTGCACAGAGTGCGCGGCCAGTGGGGTTCTACTATCGTCCACGGAATGACGACTAACTCGTTAAATGGCATCAATACCGAGTAAGGTGGGAAGTGCGTATCGATAATAACAAACCCGGCTTCTACGAACCCCGAACAACAGTTGGCCGGAGGGAAGTAATACTGCCCGCCGATTTGTGCAACGGCTTCTCGTACGTCCCACTCACATACACGTGTCCTTTCCTCACTGTAAGGAAAAGGTCGCGTTGGGATGGGAGATACGGGAGGCTGGCGCCCAATCGAAGGGTACTTGTCAGTCCACATGTCAATCAATCACAAAATATCCTGAGACGTCATTAAGAACAGAAGCGATTCGCGCGTCCCCCCAATCAATCTTTTTGACACAAGAGAGAGAAAGCAATCACAGATCAGTATGGCTACGGGTCCGATCAGTTCAACACAACGTTGGTCCCTGGGCGCCTTGTTTCTCAGGGCTGCCTCGTGGCTCGGCTGCTGATGTCGTACATTATAAGGCAGATGGCATGCGTAGTGCAAATAGAGCTACAGATCTAAACACTCTTGCATTCTCGAACAAAATCCCGGCGATACTCGTCTAACCAAATCAAAAAAAAAAGTCACGCATCTCTATACATGCATTCACTGTGGAAGGTGCGAAAATGAGACATGCACAGGAAAAGATGGATCGCATTGCACAATACACACTCATCCACCGTTCACAAGACAAGTAGACGGGGTCCTTGCATAGGGGGATTACCCAGGAAACTAATGGAAGAGTTCCGGAAGAAGTTCTTTCACACAGAAGCAGGATGCCAACTCATTCCTACTCAAGAGAGGGGCATTCATTCAGACGCATCATCATTCAAAAAGAGAGAGAGAGAGAGAGAGAGAGAGAGAGAGAGAGAGAGA